GCCTTGCTGTGGGTGGAGCCTGCACTGTGGTGGGGTCTGCCTTGTGAGTGGACTCTTCCCTGTGGGTGGGGCCTTCCTTTAGGTGGATTCTTCCCTGTGGGTGAGGCCTGTCTTGTAGGTGGAGCCTGCCCTATGGATGGGGCTTGTCTGAAGGCTGGGACCTGGAAGGTTCAGGGGCCTATGGAAGAAGGCAGAAAGTGTAATTTCACATAGGAAATACCCAATATGGCTTCATAGGTTTGAAATGCTCTGTTATTCTGTGAGGGAAGAAGACAGGATGAGAAACTGGGCTGTTAGTGTGGAGTCTCCACCCTAGAGGCATCCATCTTAGGGGGAGGCTCACAGGTTAGTGCTGAGTGCAAGGCCAAGGATGGAGAATTTACCTTCTAGTATCTCTCAGAATTGCCCAATCTCTGCTAGAATTTATCAAGTAATATGTAAATTATAGACTGAATTTTGTCTTCTGAAATTCACATGTTGAAGTCCTGGCCTGCAGCACCTTAAAATGTCTCTGTTTGGAGATGGAACTTTAAAGAGGCAATTCAGATAAACTTCGGCCCTTAGGGGGTCCTAATGCGACATGAGTGGGGTCCTTATGAGAACAGGAGAGCAGGACACAGACACAGACCACCGAGGACACAAGGAGAAGATGGCGTCCACAAGCCAAGGAGAGCTGACCCTTGGTCTCAGACTTCCAGCCTTCTGAGCTGTGAGAACACAGTCTTTCCTTGTGTAAGCTGCCCAGGCTGTGGTGTTTCATTATGGCAGCCCCAGGGCTCACACAACCTGCAGGTAGTGTCTACAGAGTGCCTGGCTTTTGAATGGCACTCTAATTAGCATCAGTGCTGGCCTTGATGTCACAGGTGGGTCGCTCACCCACACTTACTGGATCATTGGCTGGAGGCCTAGCTGTTCCTAGAATATGCCACAGAGCAAATCCACAGGAGAAACAATGCAGGAGAAAGATGGGGAGTCATCCAGTTAACAATGGTCTCTGTTCTAAGCACATAGGCTCGTAGGCTCCTCAGAGGAAGAGACATGGGCTAAAAGCTTGTGGGACCGGTTTTCTTCCAGAAGTCCCCATTGGCAGTTCCTGAGTGCCAGGTTTAAGATCTCCAGAGCAGCTGGCACCACTTCCCACTCTGGTTCTGCCAACTTACTATCTCATAAGTGGAATCCAAGAGCAAAATGGGCAGATTGATTAAAAGCAGGCAAATTAGTGGGATGGGGCCATTTGCAAATCAAATGCCACCACGGCCAAGAAAGATAATCAGAGGTAGGACAGTGATTGCTTTGTTTCTGAAAATAGGAATGACTCTCCTGAGACTGCTCCTGCCCGAGGAGCTGACCTTATTTGTGTGAATTCATTATGAGTCATGAGCACAGTCCCCTGACTGATGACATCCATCTGCCTAAGTGACTTTGGCACCTTGTGTTCCAGGTGAACTGCAGGAACATGGCTCTCTACCGTGTCCTTACCTGGGGCCTTGCCCTGTGGGATGTGGTCAGCAATGCAACCTCAAAAAGTTACTTTCCTCTCATTACTGACAGGACTTCCTTAGCAGGAGAAGCCAGTGACAGAATGTCAAGGCAGTGAGTTCCTAGGGGAAAACCCACACAGTAGACTGGAGGTTTCTGGAGGGAAGAGGCCAGGTGTCTGCCAACAGAGCCCAAGGGTGTCATGAGACTAGGACTCCCCATGACAGAGAAGCTAGTAAACAAGGTGTGATCTATTTGCTCTTTCAAAGGCCAGCAGGTCTGCTATGGACTGGGGATATGAAGGCCTTGGAGACAGAGCAATGACAGGGACCCTCTCCTTCACAAGCACATGGACCCCATCAGCTAATAATCTGATTGAGGTGGTTGCATCAAACCACATGGCAAAGGTTCTGGGGAGGAGGTGTCAGGGGTGCCTCTCTACCTCAGAGAGGGAGGAGAGGCAATTGGGAGGGAAGTTGGGGCTTCCTGCTTCAGATCTGCCTTGCAGCTGCAGTCAAGAGGCCCTGTGGGAGGATGAGTGAGGTGACCTCCCCCCATTCTCAGATCAAGGATGACAGCCCCGAGGCAGGCCAGCTTTCCTTGGACTGTCTTCTAAGTGAAACCCACAGATGGCCAACAGGGACTCTGTCACCTAATCTTTTTTCACTCTGGTTCAAGTTCAAATGTTCGCCTATGCCATGCAGCAGCACAGAACATGCACTTTGCAAGGCACCAGATAATTTCTATAATATGTTTTTAGAAAGAGCTCTTCCATGAGAAATTGACCATAGGAATCATATTTTTTAGGTTTTCTGTTTTTTGATTTGTTTATAAATCATCAGAACTTTAAAGATTGGGTCTCAGAAAACCGAGGCATAAAAATAAGCTGCAGGACTGCTTTAAATCTCACGTTGATAGAATTAAAGAAATTTGGAGTATATTGTGGTATTTTTCAGTGTCAAACAAACAACAGGAAAGAGACTTAAAGCCACAGAGAAGTTTTTAGAAACTGGAGTTGCAAACCAGTAATTGTGAAACCTAGCATCCCACAGCCTGGCGCACCCTGATGCAGACAGCTTTCCACTTCCGCTTTTGGTGAGGCTGGTTCCTAATCACACAGACTTTTGTCCAAACCGTGCCCTTCATAGTGACCACACATGCCATTGCTAATGACAACAACACAACCAGCAGCGGCACAGCTCAAGCGTGCGTTAAACCAATGAGTCAGTTATTCGATATTTATTTACTAGAGTCTCTAAGATATCTATAAATCCAGGCAAGACGCAGGTGCCACTGTTCACAGCTTTAATTCACCTGAGTGCAAATGGTATAGCATTACTCACTTGCTTCACCGAGATGATCTGAAGCAAATTTCAGAGGAGCTCATCCACTTGTCTAAGGGAGACATTGCACTCAAATATCAATCAGGCTGCAGAGGTCATTATTACTAAGTAGAATAGTATTGTACACCATGGCAAACAGGTGTTGAGGCCACTGTTCAAATCAGTTCAGTTCAGTGGACATTTAACAGGTTTTTGCATAAGAGGCTGGGAGCCTTGAGTGACAGCATGCATTGCTGAGTGTGGAATTCAAGTAAGGTGTCCAGGAAACGGACAGGTTTCCCTTCCTCCTACAAATTAGGGTGGAGTCAAAGGGTTGAGTGCAACGTGGGCATATTTCCTCACGTCCTAATAATCTGAAACAATTTTCAATTGGTGAAGGAAGGAGTAGACAGAAACTGAAGCAAGGGGAACACCGTGATCTACGTATACATCAACAATGACAGTCACCATGCAGAGACACTGCTGGGGCCAGAGGCAACATGGAGAAACCCAATTAGAGAGGAAGCTGCCATGGCTGGCACCTTGCCAGAAGTACAAAGGTTGACTCTGGTTAGCTAAAGGGTCTCGTCAGATGTGCTGGATGTTTTTTCATTTGCATTTTCCTTGTTTGCTTAGCTGCATTTTCCAAACATCCATGACAAGGTGAGGAAGAGCAGGAGGGCACTTGGAGGGAGGCAGTACTGGAAAGCCAGTCACCATCAGCTTGTAGCAGGGCTGCTGTCACCCTGTGTGGTAGGGACATCTAAAGTTCTAAGGGTAGGAGGATGACCCTAGATGTGGGGGAAGCCTTAGCTAAACAAGTGCAGGTACCTGCAGAGGGAAGAGCCTTGCACCTTGGTTTTGCAGAACAGAACACTGGCGTCTGTGCCTGACTCTCTGAGTCTCTGGGAGACTCAGCCAGGGTTGAGCATGACCCCCACCTGAGAGAGGCTGCAAAATCCACCAGGCAGAGGGCCTTTGCCTGAGCACCAATGGTGGACTCAGAAGGCAGGTCACTGATTCATGCCGGGCCGAGGAGATGGGTCAGACACTTCCCACCCTTTGGCCATCCCTGGGATTCAGCAGGAGCTCTCCAACCATGGTATCTTTCTCTGAGGACCAGAAGGAGAGCCAGAGCTTCTTCCAGAGTCAGAGGGAGTGGGGCCAGGCGTTGGAAGTTATCACAAGAAGGAATTAGTTTTAGCAGCTAAGTAAGGCGGGTGCCCTTAGGGCAACTCCTATAGTCACCCACCTTCAAAGTGTCCTTTGGTTTTGGCTAAAACTTTTCTGGGACAAAGAAACTGAAGATTCCTGGAAGTGTTCTTGTCTACCATCTTTATGACATAAGCTAAGTGTGCCCAGCAGTGTGGCTGCCTGCCGTTTTAACTTTTCCAACATGTGCTCCATGGTTTTGAACTAAGCATGCTGAGGAATGTATCTGCCATCTTTCCTTCTTGAATTATGGTAAACTGAGTGTGCTCAAGAGTGCCCACCCCTACAGTGCTCTCCTGTATGAATATGTTGTTTGTGGGCAGAAGGCACTGCCGTTGAAATAGCTCCAGTGCCCCCTTACCTGGCAGGTAGTAAACCTGCCTGCTGTGCTTTGGCCTCACATTGCCTTGGGTAACTTTAGGTCCTTGACCTAATGGTAAATCTCTTCAGTGTCACTCTTCATAACTGGGTCTAAATTTTCATGTTCTGCAACATAGCAGCTAATTAGATAGAGTGAAATTTGAGAATACCACTAAAAAAAAGGGTAATGTTGAAAAAGCAAAAGTATTTTCGAACGGATGCAAGGGAATTTTATAGTCTCTCTTCTCTGTGTGAATGTTCCCAACTCTAGGACCAGAGAGTGAAGGACAGGGCCTTCTTCCTCTCTTCCCATTTCTCTCTCCATCCTCTTTCTGTATCCTTTTCTCTCTCTCTCTGCCTCTTTTTTCTCCCCTCCTCTTTCCTTCCCTACCTCCCCTTCCTTCCTACGTTTGCCTCCCAGGTCAAGGTGTACCTACTGACAAGCAATCTTCCCGAATAAATAATAACTAACCAACCACAAGAACGAGAGCCAGTCACTTCTTGGCATACAGGAGGACCTGAGCCAGCTAAAGTCCACCTTTATCCTCTGCGAGGCCAAGAGCACTTGTGTTTCATAACCCAAACTGAAGTGCACAGCCCATATTTGCTGGCTTGGCCGGGTCTTACCTTGCTGGACTTTTGGGCAGCTAACTCTCGCTTTCCAGCGTGGTTTCCCATCCTCAGCTGATGGGGTCTTCAGAAGCTGAAAGAAAAAGAGAAGGCATCAGCCTGAAAGCTAGTATTTTTAGATTTCTCCACATTAGCTTTTCAACCACAGCACCAATCCTGTGCCATATATAAGAGAAAACCACAGTCCCAAAAACTCAAGAGGCCATCTGAAGCCATCTTACTGCCAAGGCCACCCTGGGTCCCACGCAAAGGTCTGAAAGCAGAGCAGCAGCAATACCCCAAATCTGCTTATCAACAAACAGATCACCATGTCTGCTCACTTATACAGCCATTAAGCCATCTCAAGAAATCCACAGACCATTCGCACACAAACACGTACACTTGGAGCTCTGCCTCACATCCAGGTAACTCGAGGAGATGAGCTGAGATGCCAGAAAAGTGCCTGACACTTCTTAAAATAGAAGGTGGTGGGTAGACGTTCACACTTCCTGCTTGGAAGTGTTTGTGTGATCGCAGAAGAGCAAAGATCACACCAGACTGAGGCTGCTTCTCAGACAAGCATGCAAAGAATCCGCAGAATTTGCAGGGAAGATAAAGTTGGATAAAAACAAGCACGTGACCTTCATTTTTGTTTTTGAACCCAAATCTTAGCAGTAAATACATGCATGTTCCTTTCTAAAAAAGCACAGAGTTAAAGAATTTGGCCAAACCCACCCCAGACAAACTGTTCATTTCATCCTCTCTGGACCTTTGCTGACCATAATCGGTCAGCAGAGGACCACTCGCACTGTGGGTCGCAACCTGGCTGCAGGTCACCTGACCCTTCCAGGACAATGATAAGATACCGTTTGTCATGATGCATTCCTTTTAAAGATGTGAGAACCCACTGCTTGCCGAATGCAGGAAAGGTAACAAAACTAGTCACCTCCTAAAACAGGAGGGGGAATTTCCAAAATATTATGTAGCTTGGCTACAATGCCCACTTTGTTCCTTAAAAGTCACTCTCTAGAGGAGAACATTGCCCAACCCTGGCTTTCCACCTCCCCTGTCACCAGGTGCCCTTTGGTGACTGATGACAGCTGGGGACTCTTCCCTAAAGGACCCAGTCATCCCAGGTGGTGGAGGGATGGCTGAGGAGAGAAGCAGGACGGTGCTACCTGGGAAAACAGGGGGCTGTTGTTTGTATGCGGCTCGGCTGGCTCCAGACCCCAGACCTCAGATCCAAGTGGAGATGCTGTGTTGACACTCCAGTCTCCAAACCAAAACCCAGCTGTTATCTGACCTTCAGGCCAGGAAGAGATAACAGCCGAATTCCCAGTTTCACTTGGCGCAAGAGTGGAGTTCCCTCAGCTGTAATCCTTTTACAAAAGTGACATAAGCACTGATGTTTCCCAATCACTGATTTCTATTGTCCTGGCACTTTGACCTCTTCTTACAGGAAAGGTAACTCTGAAATGACCAGTGTCTGGCTCTTTGATTCTGCACTTGTGTCTATAAAATCAACTTTTGCTCAGCCCATATGGATACTTGCTCTACTTTAAGGACTAAAGTGTTACTCAATTCTACAACTGGAAGCAAAGCCAGTATGGTAAAAGTATGGAATGCCTCAGAAAGCCAGGTGGACTCAGGTCTCCCGTGGATAACTGAGGAAGCTGTTCATAAAATAGCAGAGGAAGACATGGGGATGGGGGAGGAAGGGACACTGGATTATAAAGAGACTACTGCAGACTTCTAGAGTGATCAGACTTTAAGCTGGCAGGGTTGCTGAGTTTTGATAGGTTTGCAGGATTATCAACACTTTGTGTCCAAAGAAGAGCTAAAATGAAGCACAGGCAGGATGCATTAGCCACCTGATCCACTGGGAAGCGATCTGTCTTGTTTGGCTTCTGTTTTTACTAATGCCCTCCTGAGGCAGCCTGAATCCTAAGTACCACCATGATGGAGCTGGCGGAGGACTCGTGGGTGAAGCCCCTAGCTCGTCCTGCAGGTCAACGTCCAGGCTGAGCCACAAAGGGGCACGAGGAGAAAACACCTGGCTCCTGAGTATTTAACCACCTGACTGTGGGTGGAATCTCAGCCTGTCTATGGTGCAAGTAGGGCAGATGGGACCCAAGTCTCTACCCTACAACCTCGGCAGGGCTCTGCTCCCTGGGATCAGGATGAAATGTGCAGGCTGCGGGCGGTTGCAGGTGGGTGTCCTGAGGGGCTGCCGTGGGCTGGTTAGGGTGTGGGGTTCGTGGGTTCCTGCCTGTCTCCTCTGCTCGGGCCCTGGCAGCACGATGGGGCAGGTGGTGAACTGTCAATGGGACATGATGTCATGACATGGCTTTTCGTCTGTGGGTACTCAAGCCCACGTCAAGGAAAGGGAAAGGGGCAGACCCTCCAATGCTTTGAGAAGCCCATGAGCTCAAACAAAAGGCTGCACACCACAGACAAGGGTGGCAAAGGGCATAAGAGCACCTGTGCATTCAGGCCACACTGTGTACCATGGGTGGGAGGAGAGGAAGAGAAAAGGAAGAGGAAATTCGAGACAGTGCTCCCCAAACTTCAGAGGGGCGTCCAGGCAGTCAAATGCTGCTGTGCTTGTGGCTGAAACAACTTGGAGTGTGACTTTTCAGATATTGGCACTGTGACATTCCCCTTTTGGGACAGCTTTAGTGTTAGAAAGAGAAGTCTCACCTGCATTGTCCTAGACGGCTGGTGACCCAACCCCTCCCCCCTCCCAAAGCTGCTCAAATGTGAGGAGGATACATCACCACTGTCACAAGCCAAACCGATGGTGGTGTGGGACTGTCTCATGCCGTCTACACTGCATGACCGTTGGGACTTCTGTAAGAGTCTGTGCAGCAGGACATCGACAGCGTTACAGTGTGGGACACAGATGGACATGTGGCTGGACACCAGCCACAGCTTCCAGTTCTTTGGCCTTTGTTTTCATGACTTCCTGTATATTGCACAATGTTTTGTTTTTCAGTCCATGTTCAAGAAAGCAATCCTAAAATAAATGTTTCTGTGGGGAAAATAGGATTATTTTTCTAATGATTTGCTTTGTCCATCACAGTTCTGCAAGCCTTTAAGTTATGATATTATAGCAACAACCCTGTAGGCTTTACCCCATCCTACGGTTTAGAAGAACAACTTTAGCCATGAGTGCACCTCTAGAGATACCTTTCAGTGAAAAACTGGTAACTTGAGTTTTTTTACGGTATGAATATGTCACGTGGAGAAGAACTGCACAGACCTCAGGTAGCATACGTCCCTAAATTGTTAACTAACACCATACAGAGAAGCCTCACGGCATGGCACCAGTGGCTCACGCCTGCAATCCCAGCTGCTCAGGAGGCAGGGATCAGGAGGATCGAGGTTTGAAGCCAGCCCAGGCACACAGTTCATGAGACTGTATTTCGATAAAACACATCACAAATTAAAGAGGGCTGGTGGTCCTGAGTTCAAATCCCAGTACCAAAAAAAAAAAGAAAGAAAAGAAAAAGAGAGAGAGAAAGCCTTACTCTAACAGGTATCCTGAGAAAAGGTATCTGAGCACTTGGGTACCAGGGGTTGTAATGCAGAGCAGGGTTCTCCTGACTCACTACCTAACATCTGCAGTACGAGCTGGTAACAGGCACGTGCAATGGCGTTTTGGGTTCCCATTTTATGAAATTAATGGAATTAATTCTCTCTGCTTCTGGTTTTGCATCTGTAAGAAGAAATCTTTTGCAGTTTGTGGAGAAGAACAATATGGAAATTCATCTGACAGCAACTGGCCCCTGACGACTTATCTCTTCCCTTCCTTGGAGGATGACTGACTCCCAAGTTTCATAAGACATGGAATGCAGTCAGGGGACTGCACTATGACCCCAAAGAGCTGGGGCTCCCACAGGTATCTTAACTCAAAGTCCACCTGTCTTGTAATAAAGCGTCTTCATTAAATATCTTCCTTCCCAATGTGCAGGAAGCAGAGAGCAGTGTATCTTTTTCTGCATTCTCTGGTCAGTTATTTACGTACAGTATTTCAGAAGAGTTTTCTTCTGTCCTGTAGCCTGTCAGTGTTCACAGATATCTATGGTGGTATGACTGTGGCAGTAAGGACACCCATGAGGCATCATGTATGGAGAGGGACTGAGAAGGACTGGGGAGAGAGCCAGGTGGGGTAAAAGACCACCACACAGAGTGAGGTTGGACGATGCAGGGAGGTGACCTGGCTGAAACAGATCCCAGAGCAACAGCTCAGCTCACCTGGAGCTTCGAGAAACACTCGTTCCAGGCCTAGACTGTGTCAACTCAGGGGTTCCAAATTTGGAGACCTCATGCCTGGACACGGGCTTTGGGACTCACAGTGGGGGGTGGTGAGAATGAACACCAGGGACCTCTACTGAAATGACCCGTGCTGGGAACTGGGCACAGAGGTAAATCAAGTGGACACCTTGAGAATTAGTCTGCTTGGATGAACTAAATTTTATTCCCCTTCTAAGCAAAATAAATGAATGAACACCCCACTTTGCAGAGCTTTGCTTAATTTGTTCTATTTTTAAGTATGGACTAGTAAAAAAGAAAAATACATAAGTTTTTGTTCCTGAAACTGTACTTCTTTGTGTGTGTGAGACAGGATCTTGCTAAGAAGCCTAGGCTGACCTTGAACTCATGATCTCCTGCTTCAGTTTCCTGTGTGTGCTGTGATTACACTCATGTGCCCCACACCCAGCTATAGATTCTGTACATTGTTAAGTTGGCTTAAATGTCACCTTCCCACCAAGACCTTCTTTCCAGACCTAATCTACATGAGATCCCTCACTTATATGACCTGTTAGTGGACCATTCTTGTCCATAAGTACTTGTCACTCTGGCACTTGCGTGTAACTCTTTAAAGTGTGCATCCCCATTGGACTGTCACTATATGAAGGCAGGTGACAAGGCCATATATGCTTTCCCATGGTTCTGGGGTCCAGCACAGGATGCACGAGTGAGTGAGACAAAGGATATCAGAGGACAATCCTGGCTTTCCACCTGTAAGCAAGAGAGAGAGAGCACCAGGACTCATGACTGCTGTGTGGTTCAAACTCAGAACTAATGCAG